AAAGAGAGCCGGGGGAACCTGCTGTTGAGAATGGACGAGTCCGATGGGCACAACGAGTGAGATGTGAACAGGCTGGTTCCTGTACCCATGTCCCTCTGAATTCAGAGCAAAGAGTGTTTCTATTATCAAGGGGCAAATTTGAGGAGTGGGAGGGGCAGGTAACCTTCAGATTGTGAGCCAGAATTCAGCCCAATTTAAGCCAGGCCGACAGCCCGAGCCCATCCAAGGCCCTCTCCAAATTCCACCCATCACTCAAGCTGCCCCCACAGCCCCCGCTCTTCCCCACAACCCACCTGTGTCTAGAAGCCAGGCTCCGCCCACTCACAGCACCCACTTGCTCAGAGCAGTTCTACAAAGTGACTCCCTGGGACTCATTTCCTGGCTGTGTTAGGCCACTCGGAGCTGCTGCTGCGGGTACCAAAGAGGCTCCTAGTTCAGGAGGCGGAGCTGGTAAATTTGTCCCAGAGGGAGAAGTAAATCTACCGTGAGGGGAGTGAACCTTTTGTACTGAACGGGGAACACCCGGCTAGACAGCTTCTTCGCTGAGGGACAATGGGGAGACCCTGGCAGCTGTTCCCACGCCTGCTGCTACTGCTGGTGAACATTCCCTGTAAGTCTGGGGGCAGGAAACGCGACAGAAGATGCTGAACGTGATGGTGGATATAAGAGAGCAAGGACTGATTCTCTGGCTCACCCCTGTGGTTTGCTAGCCAGGCACCGTTCTCTCTACTGGGGTAGATGGGGATACAGGACTCCTGGGTTCAATCCCCAACTCTGTCCTGCTGGATTTCCTCCCCTTTTCTGTGCCTCAGTTTCCACTCCCACCCTTTGCTTGGCTACTTAATCTGTAAACTCTTTGGGGTAGGGGCTGCCTCTTATTATTGTGCCTTTGGGAATCTCGCAGCCAGCAATAATCTATGGCCAACCCCTTAAAATAGGAAAATAGCAGTCGTGGGCCAGATGCAAAGCCCCTGCAAATGAAGAGAAACTCCCCCGGGCTTTGCATCCGGCCAGTGTGTGAACGGGGCAGAGGTGCCCTGATATCTATGGGGTGTGTCTTTTGCCTTCTGCCCACAGGGGGGAGCTGCCAGGCCGAGGTTCAGCAGAACCTGTCTGCGGTCACTTGGGAAGGGCAGAACGGCAGCATCTCTTGCCACTACACGACGAGCACGTTCAGGAGTTTGCAGTGGTTCAGGCAGCTTCCCGGAGGCCAGCCTGCCTTCCTGCTGATTCTGGTGTCCGATGGGAAACAAACCAAGGAGCCCAACCTCACCGCAGAGCTGGACAAGGGGAAGCGGCTGAGCTCGCTGCATATCAGAGAATCACAGCTGGGAGACGCAGCCACCTACTTCTGCGCCGTGGCGACACGGTGACACAGGAGCACTGGCAGCCTGTGCAAAAACTCCCCAGCTGGAGGGTAACTTCCACAGTGCATCTCTGAGTGTGCTTCGCCTTCCTTGACACGGTCAGCCCCCAGCACCCTGGTGAGGCAGGGCAGTGCGAGGATCCCCATCGCACAGGTCCGGAGCTGAGACAGAGAGGCTGAGGAGGGAATGCACTTGGGGAAGGACGCCTAAGACAGTGGCTCTCAACCTTTCCAGACTAGTGTTCCCCTTTCAGGAGTCGGATTTGTCTGGCGTACCCCCAAGTTTCATCTCACTTAAAAACTACTTGCTTACAAAAATCAGACCTAAAAATACAGAAGTGTCCCAGTCACACTAGTACTGAACAATTGCCGACTTTCTCATTTGTACCATATAATTATAAAATAAATCCATTGAAATATAACTACTGTACTTACATTTCAGTGCGTAGTATAGAGAGCAGTATAAACAAATCATTGTATGAAATGTTAGTTTGTACTGACTTCGCTAGTGCTTTTTAAGTAGCCAGTTGTAAAACTAGGCAAGTGTCTACACGAGTTGATGTATCCCCTGGAAGACCTCTGAGTACCCCCAGGGGTACATGTGCCCCTGGTTG